GACAGAGGCAACACTACACTGGACACAGGACATAGGCCACAGGACACATGCAAAAAGAAACAGGCCAGAGGACACAGGACACAGGCTACAGGACAAAGGACACAGGCTATACGATACATGCTATAGGACACAGGCAATGGGACACTGGCTACAGGACAAGGACACAGGCCACATGAAAAGGCTAATGGACACAGGACACAGGATAGAGGACACAGGCTACAGCACACAGGCTACACTCTATAGGACAAACTATAGGTCACAGGCTATAAGAAAAAAGACAGATGCCACAGGACACACACACCAGCCACAAAACAGGACACAGGACACAGGCTGCAGAACATACGACACAGGATACAGGACGCAGGGCAGAGGCCACAGGACACACGCCTACAACACAACACACAGGCTACAAGATACAGGCTACACAACATAGAACACAGGCGAAAGGACTCAGGCTACAGGACACAGCACAGACTTCAGGACACAGGTCACAGGCCACAGGACATAGGCTCCAGAGCACAGGCAGGGCCCTGGCCACGTTCCAGTGACATGCCCCTCACTCCTCCTTGCCCTCCAGGGCCATGATCCCCTCAGGCAGGGCCCTGGCAACCCTCTAGGGCTGGGCTCCTTCTCCTCTCCATGCCCTACAGAGCCAGGCCCTGCTCCCTTCAGTTGTGGCACTAGACACCCAGCAGGGCTGCCCCACTCTCCTTGTCCTCCAGGGCCTGGGCCCCACTCCCCTAGTTGCCCACCAGGGCCTGGGCCCAGCTCCCATTGCTGTCCTTCAGGGCCAGGCCCTGCTCCCCTCACCACATTCCAGAGCTGGGCCCCAATCCCCTCCTCAGCCTGCAGGGTCGGGCCCTTCTCCCCTCAGGCCCAGCCCTGGCCTCCCTCGAGGGCCAAACTCTGCTCCCCTCCTCACCTCCAGGGCCAGTGTTCCCCTCCTCATGCTCCAGGGCTGGCACTGTCGCTCCCCGTCTTCATGGAGGAACGACACAGGACCCTGCGCTGTTCTTTTGTCTGCTCGGCCCTCCCCGGGTTTGCTGCTGGTTCTTCCCGGGTTGGCTACCGTCCCTTCCACCTCCGTGGAAGGGCGGTTCCCCCTGCCACATTCCCCACTTCCGCGGGGGAGCGGCACACCACCGGCTGGCTCTCTCGGGGGCTGCACAGGTGTTCCTTCAGATAGATGTTCCCCTTAGATGTTCCTGGTGCATGTTGTCTCTCTCCTCCTTTATAGTCCTCTTCCACCAATCCCAACTCTGCTACCCACATGCCGAGTACGCTGCTCTCCTCCAATCAGGAGCAAGATCAGCTCCTGCAGCTCAGTCAATCAAGTTGGTGAGAGGCAGCTGGGTAGAAGCTGTTTGCTCCTCTCCCAGCGCCATATTGTGGGAGAGCAGATGTATAGAATAACTCTTAATTCCAGTAACAGTATAGTCCAAGTTGCTCCCCACAGGCACCAATCTCCTCCTCGCACTCTTGGTCTGGCTCTGCTCCCCTCCTCCCCATCCACAGCCAGGCCCTTCTCCCCACAGGCCCATCCCTGTCCTCCCTCCAGAGCCAGACCCCGCTTCCCTCCACACCTTCAGGGCCAGCCCCTGCTCCGCTCCTGGCCTTCCAGGGCCTGGGTCCCGTACCTCTCCTTGCCCTGCAGAACCTGGCACCCACTCCAACCTTCACAATCCAGAGCTGGGCCCCTCTCAGCACGCTGCTCTCTTGGGCCAGGCCCCACTAACCTCAACACCATCAGGGCCAAACCCTGCTCCCCTCCTTGTCCTCCACGACCTGGCCCAGCTGCCCTCCTCACCCTCCAGGGCCTTACCCTGCTCACCTCTTACCTTAAGCGGCTGGGCCCGGCTCCCATTGCTGCCAATAAGTCACTGGTGTCACTCGGTGGTCCCTAGCAGCCACTGCCTCCATCTTTGTGCACCCCTGCTGTCACTGCAGCATTGGGCAGCCCGCATGGTTCCCCAGCACCTGCCACTTCATGGCCTGCCTTGGCTGCCTCCTTCTGCTTCCTCAGGCACACCGAGTGAGGCCACATCTTTATGCCCCAGTGCAGCCACCAGGAGCCACCCGTCATGGGGCCCCAGCACGGTCCCCAGCAGCCTCCCTATGATTGCCCGAGGATTCTTCCTACTTCTTCTTGGGCTCCCCTGTGGTTATCTGGGCCCTCTTGTAACTCCCAGGCCCCACCACACGGCCCCCAGGCCCCACCAGCTCCTTCCCTGGGCACTCCCACTGCCACTGAATCACTAGGTCACCACGTGGACCCCAGAAGCTGCCTCCTGCTTCCTCGCCCCCCCACAGCAGCTGAGTTTTAGGACCCCCCCATTCTCCCAGAAGTCGCTGAGTCTTTGGGGTTCGCGCTGCCCCTAGCAGTCATTGCCTCTGTCCTCTGGCACTCCTGCTGTCCCTGCATCATGTCTGAACTTGGAAATGAGGCTCTACAAAGGGGGTCTCAACTAACTCTCTTGTGGCCAAAGTTTGAGGGTGGGCAAGTGCAGAACTGTTGAATGTGCAGAGGGGGAACGTGGGTGTGGCATGAGGATAGAAATTTTCCCTGGGAGTCACCTTCAGGAGCATGGCTCTGGGAAGGAATGACTTCCAACATGTTCTTTGGCAAAGAAAAACCTGGGCAGGAAAACGGAAAGCATGGGCACGAGTTAAGGTGCCAGGTGACTTCTTCCCAGACATGTGGGTCTGAGTTCTTTGGGGCACACAAGAAGGCAGCTCAATGGGAGAGGCCACCTCGGTCTGCAATGCAGGCTCCTCAGTGCAGATCTAGGAGCTCTAAGTTGTCGCAGGAGTGTCTCATCCAGGGACCTGGGAACTTGGGCTTGGAGAAGGAAACTCAGGGTGAGAAGACTTCCCAGGGCAGAGAGCCGCCTGAGCAGAGAGTGCAGGCAATAATCAAAGACAGAATAAAGTGGGAGGAGGACAAAGAGTGTCATCCAACGTGGGCCCTGTATCTTACAACCAGCATCCCACACCAATCGCTTTGAACTGGCTCGGAGACCTGGGGAATCTAAAAGATAAATGACCATGTAGAAGATCAGGGGTTCTCCAAACACCAGAGGAGCAGTCTGCCTTACTCACCTTTCCCATGGAGCTGAGTCCCTCCACGTCACGGCACCAACGATGCTGCAGGAACTTCAAGTCCATTCTTTCTCTCACATAATCCCAACACGGATCATGAGGGTGAGGGAGAAAAAGCAAAATAGGTTTTCGTGAGAAAATCATACTCTTGCAAGCCAGAAGGGGGACTAAGGGAGGGGTCCAATAAGTCCTGGCAACACGAAGTTTAACTAGGGAGTGATGTTCATGGATTAATATTCTAAACAAAATCCAGCACCATGTTCTGTGTTAGAAAAAGGTCATGACCCCTAACCATGAAAACATGCTTCCTTACTGGCCATCTGAAAAATGTAACACTATATATTCCCTCTCTGCCTGCAGTTTCTCTTACTGCCTCCTCACCTGCCCTCCTCCCAGACACGAGTCCCTGACTACCCTTCATTGCTACACTCCTCAGGGAAGGGCCCCTCCTCGGGGGCATTTCCCAAGAGGCTACTGAGAGGCCACTTTCCTCTCTGGGCTCAAGGGCTTTCCTCTGGGGCTGGCAGGACACAACACAGCCAGCTGAAGCATTGGATGATCCTCCTGCCAATCCCCAGGCGCCCCTTGCCCTTTCTGGCCTGCGTGTCTGAGGTCCCTGCCTCCTGCTCCTCCTCCTGCTGCTGCATTCCTGGGATGCTCTGCTCCTCTGAGGCACCCGGGGAGCAGCTCCTGACTTCTCCATCAGCCCCACTGCTGTTGGTGCTCAGTGTGGTGGAGAGAGAGGTCAGAGCATCCTGGCTGAGGACTGCACAGGCAGCGGGGCTCCTTGTCCACACGGCCCGTTGGGGACTGTCTGTCCGGCAGGACTCACTGCTGCTCACACTGGGAGTCCCACGGAAAGGAGTCTGCCCCAACTGGGCTCCTGCAAGCACCAGTGGTTGGGATTCAAGAGCGGGACACTCACGGGCTCTGCTGTTGCAGCCTGAGTGTCCCTGGAGGCACTGGAGAGCGGGACAGCTCTGAGCACCGGGGATGGCCTGAGGTGTGGGCTTCCCTTTGCTGTGATCCTGCTGAAGTCCTGGGCACAAGGCACTGGCTGGGAGCCTGGGTGGCAGGGAGCCTGCTTGATGGCCCAGCTGGAATCCCAGGTCCTCAAGGGAGCTTAGAGCTTCAGGACCCTGAGGAGGTGCTGCAGGCTCCACTTGGCTCCGCCCATGTATTTCTGGGATGCTGAAGCCCTGCTGTTGGGAGATCCCCCAGCGTGGCACAGGGGGCCAGGGGTCATCCCATTCATGAAGCCACAGTGGAGGGCAGAGGCCCCATGGGAATTCCCAGACTTCCTGCTCCTGTGGAAGAAACAGAAACTCATCACTGGTTCCAGGTGCTCCATGTCCTGCATGGAGCCAGGGGTGGCCCATGATGTCTGCCACTGTGGGCCTGGCCTCAGGGTCCCGGGTCAGTAAGCTGTCCACCAGGTTACACAGCTCTGGGTTTCCATAGTGGGGGATTCTGTAGTATCCAGACAGGATGGCTGCCCGCAGCTCCACACAATCCTCTCCAACAAAAGGCAGTGAGCCTGCCACCATGGCGTACAGGATCACGCCCACACTCCAGGCATCAGCCTTGTACCCGCAGAACTCCTCACCTAAGAATTCCTCAGGCGCACAGTAGGCAAAGGTCCCGCACAGACTCTTCAGGCGCTCTCCACCAGCCAGTTTGCAGCTGAGACCAAAATCGCTCAACTTAATGTTTAGGTGGGCGTCGAGAAGCAGGTTTTCTAACTTTAAATCCCTGTGCACCACGTGCTGCGAATGGCAGTAATGCACAGCGGATAGAATTTGTTTCAATAGCTGACGAATCTCTCCATCCAGCAGGTACCCTCGTTCTACCATGTAACATCTAAGGTCCCCCCTGACTGCGTATTCCATGAAAATGTAGCCCCTCTCTGTCGTGTGCCTGACCTGCAGTAGTTGAATGATGTGAGGGTGATGCAGCCCCTTCATTATTTCTGCTTCTGTGCACAACTGCTGGAAGCTGCAGGAGTGCTGGCCACCATTCTCCACAACCTTCACAGCCACCTGGGTCCTGCTTTCCCAGTGATAGGCCAGCATCACCAGCCCAAAACCGCCCTGGCCGAGGACCCTGAGGACCTGGTACCCATCCAGGACCTCCTCCTCACTGCTGAAGGCGGTGAGGCCTTCCATGGTGGGATCCCCACCCCACCCCCACCCTGCACTCTGACACTGGGAACACTTACTAGTCCCTTAAAGTAACAACAAAAACTGGGAAACAAATAGAAATCAAACAAGCAAAGTGGAAACCAAAATTAACAACTCAATATGCTAATATTTCTAATAGATAATGCTAACTCTATGAACTATGGTATACTAATCACTAACACTGTATGAAAATTAAGAATTAAAAGTTATAAAACACACAGAATACTAAAAATGGTGATGTAAAGCGACACCAACTATGGTAACTATGGTAACAATGCTAATCAATAAGTCTTATAACAGTCTTATCTAAATCAAAGGATCAAAAAATGAGAAAACAGTCAGAAAACGAGGAAACACAAGGAGGACAAAATCAACACAGCATCAAGTACATTAGCCTGTGAAAGAAAAAACAAAAAATAAACAAATATTTAAAGAAAATACACAAGCACACAATGTAAAAATGGGAGGGGGAGAGAAATTGACAAAATAGCAAAAAAAAAAAAAATAGAAGAAAAACTAAAAGAACCACTACGGTAAGGAGAACTAATAGACGAGACAAAACAACACCACAAATGACAGGACAAGGGAAAACCAGTGATGTCGTCCAATCCTTCAGGCAGTCTCCACAGAGCTTCCTGGGCCAACTGACCAGAACCGAGCCCAAGCAGGGAACTGTTAAGGCAGTTGGAATGACATCACAATGCCCCCCTTGAGGGCAGAGGAGGCTCTAGACCAATCACAGCTGGGGACACACCAGGCTGGTTTTCTCAAGAAACTTTCTACTTGGTTAAAGAGAAAGGACCCCAAAAGCTTTTGTCTTAAGTTGGTGGTGGAGATCGGTATTTAGGATTTGATAAATTAGCACAGTCCTCTTCAGGCTTTTTCTATTGTTTCAATACACGTATAGAAGCACTGATCCTCCCAGTCTCTATTTCCACCCCCATTCCCATCCACTTTTTCATTTCCTCTTGGTTCCTGTCCATTAAAGATGTCCAGTAAGAGGAGTCAACTGCTCCTCTTAGCCCAGGCAGGCTCAGCTCATTGTCCCAAAAGATTTCCAAGCTCTGCCATGGCTTGAACAGATTGTGGCTCCCTCACTCATGTATACGTTCACTCACACACATATGTACTTGTATGTTCAAAAACAAAACTAGAGGCATAAAGGTGTCCCTTTAGAGGAATTGAGCATTTGCAAACTGAGTTCTGGTGGTGCTGCCCACCATCAGCCTGCTGCTCTGTTTGTCTGCTGAAGGTGAAACACTCAGAGCACATGGAGAGAATAGAAACAATGTTGCTGGAGACACTGCACAAACAAGCCAGGCTTCCTTCCCCATAGAACAGCAGGTTACAGCCTCAGCCTCACTCAGCTCCTGTCTTCCTCCTGAGGGAGAAGTCCTGGGGAAGATAAGGGACCTATTGTCGCTCCTCCAGGCTCCTGAGTTCTTGCAACGCAGACTGTGAAACGTGTTTATGAGATGTTCAAAATGAAAGTGGTGTTGTTCTCACTCTTGCTCTCTCCATCCCCTTCTCTCCCCTTCCCTCCATTTCTCCCCGCGGAAAGTATGTCTTTCAAATAGATTAATTACATTTTTAAGCTTTTGTTAATATTTAATTGTTTATTTATTTTTAAAGATTTTATTTATTTGAGAGGTAGCGTTACAGACAGTGAGAGGGAAAGACAGACAGAGAGGCCTTCCATCCACTGGTTCACCCCCCAGATGGCTGCAATGGCCAGAGCCGCGCTGATCAGGAGCCAGGAGCTCCCTCCCGGTCCCCCCCATGGTTGCTTCCACTGCCCTCCTGGGCCACAGCAGAGAGCCGGATCGGAAGTGGAGCAGCCAGAACTCGAACTGGCATCCACATGGGATGCCAGCACCACAGGCGGAGGCCCAGCCCAGTATGCGAGCTCCAAGATTTTATTTATTTAAAATTGAGAGGCAGAGTTAGAGACACACACACAGAGATCTTCCATCCACTGCTTCACTCCCCAGATGGCCACGGTGGCCAGAACTGGGTGGATCCGGAGCCAGGCGCCAGGCGCTTCCTCACTGCTTTCCCGGACCGGATGGGGGAGGATAGATATTTCTATCATGCCCATTTTACAGAGATGGAAACAGAGGTCAGAGAAGACAGAGAGCTTTCTTGTCACACAGTCAGAAACCCAGTGTTTAGCCACTAGGCCAAGTCCCTCCCCTCGCCATTTTATTTTTTTTTAAAAAAGACTTATTTATTTGAGAGGCAGAGTTACAGACAGAGAGAGGGAGAGACAAAGAGTGAGGTCTTCTATCCACTAGTTTACTCCCCAAGTGGCCACAACAGCCAGAGCTGAAGTGCTCTGAAGCCAGGAGCCAGGAGCTTCTTCTGGGTCTTCCACACAGGTGCAGGGGCCCAAGGACTTGGGCCATCTTCTACTGCTTTCCCAGGCCACATCCAGGAGATGGATCAGAAGTGGAGCAGCCGGGACTCGAACTGGTGCCCATTTAGGATGCCAACACCGCAGGCCAGAGCTTTAACCTGCTATGCCACAGCACCGGCCCTTTAAATCATTTTTTTTTTAAGATTTATTTTTATTTATCTGAAAGATAGAGTTACACAGAGAGGTAGACACACACACACACACACAGGGAGGAGAGTGGAGAGAAGAGAGAGAGGTCTTCCATTCATTGGTTCACTCTGCAAATGGTGGCAATGGCCAGAGCTGATTGATCTGAAGCCAGGAGCCAGGAGCTTCTCCCGGGTCTCCCATGTGGGTGCAGGGACTCAAGCACTTGGGCCATCTTTTGCTGTTTTCCGAGGCTCATTAGCAGGGAGCTGGATAGGCAGTGGAGCAGCCAGGACTGGAACTGCTGCCCCTATGGGAGGGCACCACTGCGGGCTCCACCTCCTGTCACCTGTCAATGCCATGACACCAGGAGCCTAGCTCCAGCATATGAACCTTGGGGGAGAAACCACAATCACCCTGGGCAGCCCGGGGTGCCCGCCCTTGCTCACACCCCACCCTGCCCCCCAGGAGACGAGGACAGGCACACACGACCACCTTCGGAGGAGAAATCGCCTTTTACTTGGATTCTGATTTGAGAACAGTGTACACTGGATAAATCATACAGTATCTCACACATGTGGGGAAAAAGCTGGGGTCTGTCTCCCTCCTCAGCTCCCACCCTGTGTTCCCCTCACCAAAATGTAGGAAAAGCCCAGCTTGGAAAATAGGGCAGATCTTTGTCCCCGAAGCAGCAGGGAGCTGGGGCCATCAAGGAGAATGTCTTGTAGTCGACACAGAGCAGTGAAACTGCCCAGCGGGCTGCCATAGTGCACATCCATTTCTTTATACAATTTGATTCATTGTAGCCCCTGGATGGTGTCTAGGGAAGGATGGGATCCAGCAAGGCAGGCAGCAAAGGAGCCCTTGGCTCAAAAGTACTCAACATGGGACCAGCCTGGGGGGTCCCCAACGTGCTGCAGAGCTGCCACTGTGACAGGTCACCGTCCCCAGACACACAGCCCCACCCCGAGACCACAGGGCCCCCTGAAGCCAGCTACAGGCTGCACCAAGCAAGCTGTCCCTACAGGTGCCCGAGCCATGCGTCTGGGCTCTGATGCAAGTCGGAGGCAGGCCAGCGCCAGGTTGGGCAGAGAAGGACAAAGGGCTACACTCCTTCTGGAACCTTCTCACCCAGCTCAGGCAAGGCCAGGAGGGCCCAGGATGCTGGAGGTTACTGCTTGGCCCCCAGGGAGTGACACTAAAGAGACAGGAAAAGTAGCCCCCGCCCCTCTGTCCCACACTCAGGGCAAGAGGGCCGAGCGGTGACTAGACGGTGGGCCGCCTCAAGCTCGCATCTCTCCGGGACGTCTGCCGCCTGGAGCTCTGGCCCCCGTGGAAGGCTTCCTCCGCTTGGCAACCAGGTTCCTCACATAGCTCTGCACCCACTGCTGCTTGGGGTCGCCGCAGACTCGGTAGCCCTTCTTGGTGGTGAAGCTGGAGGGGGGGAGAGAAGGACAGGGGATTCACTTGATGGGGAGGTGGGTGCAGGAGCACAGAGAGTCTCCGCTGTGGGCCCAGAGCCCCCAGCAAGCTACCAGCGTGGTGTTGGTGTCTTCTGAATGGAGAGGGGAGGGGAGTAAAATCTGCCACAGAACACCAACCCCCCTCCCCACCCCCGACCAGAAGCAAGGCAGGTGCGACCAGTTCACACGCCGAGCACGGCCACCGAGAATGCCAGAGCCAGGGTTGGGGGAGACGGGGAAGGCCCCTTTGAAGCCAGCCCTGGGCTGGAGGTGGTGCCAGGCTGTGGAGCTTAGTCTGGGACCAGCTGGGGAAGATCGGTCCCACACTGCTCACAAAGCAAGTTCACACCCACTGCCTTGTGTGAGAGGCAGCCCCAGAGGTATCTGGAGCCCAGAGACGCGGCTGCTGGAGCAAGTCCCTTACCCGGGCCTTGGGTGCTGTCTCTACATGACGGGAACCACCTTCCCTACTCTGCAGTGCTGTTGAGAGCATTAGCTAAGCAGTATGGGGTGCCCCGGGAAGGGCCTCCTATGTTTTCTGTGCTTGCTAAATGGCTCCCTCCTAGATTCACCAGTGAGAAAGCTGAGGCCTAGAGAGATCACTTGACTTCCCTGGGGATGCACAGAGCTGGGTCCTGCCAACCCTTAGCCCCCAGGGACCCCGGCCCACCCTGACCTGACCACGGGGAGTTACTCACATCACACCTGCCCTGGGGCAGACACTCCCGCTGGACAGCTGGTAGCTCACCACTTGGCTCTCAGGGATCTTCTTAGGAATAAAGTTCATGCAGCAGGAGGAGGGGATGACCACAGCACCTAAGAGACGGTGAGAGAAAAGCCCCGTCTCCAGATGCCCCAGCCCACCCTGCTGTCCCCGTCACGTCCCCAGGCCAGGCTGGAGGTCTCACCTGCAGGGGTGAAGTGGTGGGCACTGAGGGCCAGCAGCAGGAGGCTGGCTGCGATGGTTGCAGGGCCTGCCATGTCCGGGGGAGGGTGCAGAAGCTCAGGGATCCACACCTGGGTGCAGGAGGAGAGGGCATGGGGGTCAGAGCCCGGCTGTTTGCAGGACACCCCCTGTCCCACCTTTTATAGGAGCGCTGGCCAGACCATCCTACTGATGGAGCCCCACCCCTCTCGGGCTTCCTTGAAAATCCTGAAGCCTCTGTGGTCAGGAAGGAGGAAGTCGTGGCCCAGCTGAGTCAGGGATCATTTGGGGCTCGATAACAAAGAGCTGGGCTGAGGAGGGCTGGGCACTGCCCTGCCTAGGCCAGGGCCAAGGCCTTTATGCTCCCTTTGGTTGCTAGTGCTTTTGGTATCATCTTTAGGAATCCATTGTATTTTTCGTTTGATTTTTTGAGAGAGAGACAGAGAGAGAGAGAGGGAGAGGGAGAGGGGGAGACAAAGACAGAGAGAGCTTCCATCTGCTGATTCACTCCCTACTCCCCAAATGGCCACAACTGCCAGGCTGGAGTTGAGCTGGTCAGGAGCCAGGAGCTTCTTCCAGGTCTCCCACATGGGTGCAGGGGCCTAATCACTTGGGCCATCCTCCACTGCCTTCCCAGGCACATTAGCAGGGAGCTGGATCAGAAGTGGAGCGGGGGCCAGCACTGTGGCATAGCAGATTAAGCAACCGCCTGCAGTGCCGGCATCCCATATAGGTGCTGGTTCGAGTCCTGGCTGCTCCACTTCCAATTCAGCTCTCTGCTGTGGCCTGGGAAAGCAGTAGAAGATGGCCCAAGTCCTGAGCCCCTGCACTCACGTGGGAGACCCAGAAGAAGCTCCTGGCTCCTGGCTTCGGATTGGCACAGCTCCAGCTATGGCAGCCAATTGGGGAGTGAGCCAGTGGATGGAAGACCTCTCTCTCTCTCTCTCTCTGCCTCGCCTTCGCTCTCTGTATAACTCTGACTTTCAAATAAATAAATAAATCTTTAAAACAAACAAATAAACAAAAAGAAGTGGAGCAGCCAGGACTCAAACCATCACCCATATGGGACGCTAGCATTGCAGGCAGCAGTTTTTATCCACTATGCCTCAGCACCGGCCCCTGTTCTCCTTTATAAAGATTATTTTAGGTCCTTTGAATTTCTGTATGAATTCTAGAGTTAGCTTGTCAATTTCTGCAGAGAAAACAGTTGAGGTTCTGCTAGGAGTTGGGCTGATTCTATAGATGCCTTTGGGGATATTACCATTGGGGACTTTTCTCTGATTGTTTTCATCATCTTTAATTTCATTTGACAATGTTTTCTAGTTTTTGGTACTGCTTTCTGTTTATTTTAAATTTTGATTTTATCTTCTCTTCCTCGTGTCCTTTGTTTGTTTTTTGTTTTTTTTTTTTATTTTTTATTTTTTATTTTTTTTTGACAGGCAGAGTGGACAGTGAGAGAGAGAGACAGAGAGAAAGGTCTTCCTTTGCCGTTGGTTCACCCTCCAATGGCCGCCATGGCAGGCGCACTGCGGCCGGCGCACCGCGCTGATCTGATGGCAAGAGCCAGGAGCCAGGTGCTTTTCCTGGTCTCCCATGGGGTGCAGGGCCCAAGCACCTGGGCCATCCTCCACTGCACTCCCTGGCCACAGCAGAGAGCTGGCCTGGAAGAGGGGCAACCAGGACAGAATCCGGCGCCCCAACCGGGACTAGAACCCGGTGTGCCGGCGCCGCTAGGCGGAGGATTAGCCTAGTGAGCCGCGGCACCGGCCTCGTGTCCTTTGTTTGTTTGTTTACTTTGGGTTGATCTTGATGGTTTTTTTCTAGCTTTTTTTTAAGATTTATTTATTTATTTGAAAACCAGAGTTGCACAGAGATAGGAGAGGCAGAGGCAGAGAGAGAGAGAGAGAGAGAGAGAGAGAGAGGTCTTCCATCCCCTGGTTCACTCCCCAGCTGGCTTCAACAGCCGGAGCTGTGCCAATCTGGAGCCAGGAGCCAGGAGCCTCCTCCGGGTCTCCCACATGGGTGCAGGGGCCCAAGGACTTGGGCCACCTTCTACTGCTTTCCCAGGTCATAGCAGAGAGCTGGATGGGAAGTGGAGCAGCCGGGACTCGAACTGGCACCCATATGGGGTGCCAGCACTGCAAGCCAGGGCATTAACCCGCTGTGCCACAGTGCCAGCCCCCTTTTTCTAGCTTCTAAAAATGCACACTTGGGGGCCAGCATTGCAGCACAGCCGGTTAAGCCAGTGCTTGCAGGGCCAGCATCCGGTGTTGGAGTGCCATTTTGAGTCTCGCTACTGTGCTTCCAATCCAACATCCTGCCAGCGCACCTGGGAAGGCAGCAGAAGACCCACGTACTTGGGTTCCTATCTCCTGTGTGGGAGAGCCGAGTGTGGTTTTAGAATACCCCCACGTAACACCACCACTTTGGATTTGCTGGGTATGTGCTAGGCTGAAGGTACCTCCCTGGCCACCCTGGACCCAGAGTCCCCCGTGGGCCTCCCGGGACAGGTCCACGCGGATGGCACTACATTTTGGCGGCTGGCAGAAGAGTGTCCCTGGGGGATCCTTGATGGGAGAGCGAGAACAGGAGGAAGGCCGTGCGTGGGCTCCTGCAGCTCCTGCCTAGAGTCTTGCTTAGGCTCCAGCCCCGCGTCCGGACCTCACCCACGCAGTCTACCTTAGCCGTGAATGCCGCCAGACGCCGAGTCCCCTGGGGCCTGCTGGTGACTCTCCAAACACAAGGGGAGACCTTGGGGGCCCCTACACAGCTCACCATCTGCATTTAAAGTAATATCTACTTGCTTGGGTTTCAGTTTCCCAGTTTATTTGTTCAGATTATTTTGGTTTTATTCCTCTGTTTCCTGTCTTGTTTTGGATTAAATGCTCCTCACTGGCTGTTTGGCATCATCTCTCTCTGTCATCTTGATAGTGCTTCCTGCCAGGAATCCCAGGTACACCATTCACTTTTCACGGCCCACTTGGACATCCTAAGGAGCCACCTGACGTGCAGCCCAGAACCCTAGCCACACACAGATCTCTTTCCTTCCTGTCTTCCTGTTATACTGTGTAATCTGTCGACATAAGTAATAAGGCTCATAGTGCAGTGCTTTTAGTTTTTTTTTATTTATTTATTTTTTTGACATGCAGAGTGGACAGTGAGAGAGAGAGACAGAGAGAAAGGTCTTCCTTTGCCGTTGGTTTACCCTCCAATGGCCACCGCGGCCGGTGCACCATGCTGATCCGATGGCAGCAGCCAGGTGCTTCTCCTGGTCTCCCATGGGGTGCAGGGCCCAAGCACTTGGGCCATCCTCCACTGCACTCCCTGGCCACAGCAGAGAGCTGGCCTGGAAGAGGGGCAACCAGAACAGAATCCGGCGCCCCGACCGGGACTAGAACCCGGTGTGCCGGCGCCACAGGTGGAGGATTAGCCTAGTGAGCCGCGGCACCAGCCTGCTTTTAGTTTTTTAAGCACTTATTTGAAAGGCCGGGAAACAGAGAAAGAGAGAGATCGTCCATCTGCTGGTTCACTCCCCAGATAGCCACATTGACCAGGCTGGGCCAGGCCAAAGCCAGGAGCCAGGAGCTACTTCTGGGTCTCCCATGTGGGTGGCAGGGCTCGAGTATTTGGGCCATCTTCTTCTGCTTCCCCAGGGCGGATTAGCAGGGAGCTGGATCAGGAGAACAGTGAAACTTGCACTGGCACTCCTATATGGGATGCCAGGTGTTATAAGCAGTGGTTTAACTCTCTGCTCCACAATGCCAGCCCCTAGCATTTTTATTTTTTTGCTTTAAACTGTTATATACACTTGGGGCTGGTGCTGTGGTGCAGTGGGTTAAAGCCCCAGCCTGCAGTGCTGGCATCCCATACGGGCACCAGTTTGAGTCCCGGCTGCTCCTCTTCCGATCCAGCTCTCTGCTATGGCCTGGGAAAGCAATAGAAGATGGCCTAAGTCCTTGGGCCCCTGCACCCATGTGGGAGACCTGGAAGAAGCTCCTGGCTTTGGATCAGCTCAGCTCCAGTTGTTGTGGCCAACTGGGGAGTAAACCAGCAGATGGAAGACCTCTCTCTATATAACTCTTTCAAATAAATCAAAATAAATCTTAATAAAAAAATAAACTATTACATACACTTTTAGCAAATTAAAAGATCTTACCCATTTACTCATATTTACCACTTATCATGCCTTCCATTCCTTCCTGGAGAGCTGAGTCTGTATCCTACCAAATAGCTCTCATCAGCCTGCAGATCTGACCGGAAGCTCCCACCTCACACCCACCAAGAGCAGAGTTCTTGGCAGGGCTCTGGGGCTGACACTCGGGGTGGGAATCACCACACCCATTCTACAGCTGGGAAAGTGGAGGCCCAGGGGGAGTTCATGACCTGTCTCTAAGATACTCAGATCCACTCACGTACTAAGGATGGCTCCTCTCGGGGGCGGTGTCAACCAGGAGAGCATTCCCGATGGGGACCCATTCCTTAGGGTCACCGTGCATGGTGGCAGAAGCCAGGGAGGGCGACCAGGGCACTTCTCAGGGAGGCGCTGAGGGCAGAGGGTTCGTGGGTGCCACTGTCGGCGCTGGTCTCCCACCATCTTCTGGAGCCGCCTTAGGACTCGACTGCCCCCCAGGCTCCCAGACTCCCGGGCTGAGCGACATCCAGCTCACCCGCCACTGGCCCAGGGCCTGAGCTGCTGAGTTAGCGTGGTGCCAGCCTCAGCACCAGCTCCAGCCAGCTCTGCACGCTCGGGGCCCTGGAAGCTTGAGATTCCCAATACCTCCAGCCAGCCCCGTGACTCTGGGGGTAAGCGAAGGGCAGAGCGTCCCCGTGGGCAGCCTCGGGGTCTGGGTTCCTAGGAAGCGAGCCCAGCTGTGCGGTGCTTCAGGAAGAAAAGCTTCTCACTTCTGCTTTCGGGGGAGGCCCTTGGCCACCAGATTCGGTGGCTCAGCAGAGTCCGGTCCTTCCTCCAAGCAGGCGCTCTTTCTACAAAGAGACCTAGACTTGGGGCGAGACAGCAACACTGGGTGGTGGTGGCCTCCTGTCCCCTTGTGTCCTGGAACATTCCATGGCTGTGGGCTGTCCGAGAGACCCTGTGCCCCGACCTGTGGGCAGTAAGCCTCAGGCTAGTGGGTGCCATTCCCCCCTCCCTGTCACCCCTCCCCCAGCCTCTTTTAGTTTTTGGAATTCTCTGGCCGTCCTGGGCGTCCCTTGGTTTGTAGATGCAGTGCTGATCTGTCTGTGTTGTCACATAGCCATTCCTTCCCATGTGTCTCATTTCTGTGTGTCTCCTCTCCTTCTCCTAAGTCACCACAGTGGATGAAGGGCCCACCCTGCTCCCGTCTGACCACATCTTTTAAAAAAAATTAACTATTTGAAAGGGAGAGGCTGGCCCCGCGGCTCACTAGGCTAATCCTCCACCTTGCGGCGCTGGCACACCCACCGGGTTCTAGTCCCGGTCGGGGCACCGGATTCTGTCCTGGTTGCCCCTCTTCCAGGCCAGCTCTCTGCTGTGGCCC